TGCTAAAGTGTCAGCATTTGTGTGGTGTTCTCGTTTTTTTAGTGTTGCTGACGTTTTATTGCGTGTGAAGCCTTGGCATTTCGGGGACTGGCTTTGCAGGTGGTGAAAATGTTTCAGCGCTTTGCAGAGCTGAAAATGGTTATAAAGACCTTTTGTAGCAGGTACGCTGCTGTCTCTGCCTAACTTCCTTTCGGTTCCCTGGGCAGAGCAGTGCACAGCTGTGCTCCAGGCAGGGTCAGCTGGAGCGGGTTGCCCAGGTCTGTGTCCAGTCAGGCTTTGAATGTCCCTGAGGATGGAAATGACACAGTCTCTCTGAGCAGCCTGTTCCCGTGTCCCACCATCCTTGTGTTTTTTTCTTACATTCAAATGGAATTTCCTGTGTTTCAGTTTGTGCCTGTTGCTTCTTGTCCTGTCACTGGGCACCACCGAGAAAAAGAGTTTGCTTCCTGCTTCACATTCTCCAGTCAGATATCGATGTGTGTTGATGAGAGCCACCTTCTCTCCAGTCAAAACAGGCCCAGATTTCTCAGTCTCTCATTGTGTGAGAGGTGCTTCAGAACCTTCATCATCCTTGTGGACCTACACTGAACTTGCTTTATGTATTTCTTGTCCTGGGGAGCCCCAAACTGGACCTAGTGCTCCAAATCTGGCCTCACCAGCGCTGAGTAGAACAGCAGGATCACTTGCCTTGACCTGCTGGCAATGCTCTTCATAACGCTGTCTAGAAGATCATCATGTTTTCTTTTTAATTCAGGAACAGAAGAGCAATGGCTTTGAGCATGGTTGATGTGCCTTGTCAGTCTGAGGTGACGGGCTGATGTTTGAACACCAGCTGGTCTTTCTCTCTGCTGATCGTATCCCAAAATGGGGAGGTAAGAATCTCAAAGGAACTGTCAAATGAAATTGTGATGTCTTTTGAGTGACGGACAGGGAACGTAATCATGAATTCATGGCTAATCGTGAATTCAAAGATGGGAATAGTGTCTTGACTACACTCAAGCCAGAGCATAAGCAAAGCTAGAGCAGTCCTAAATGAAAAGTTCTTCGAAGACTCTGTTTGTCCTTAGCTTGTTTTGGAATGCATTGTGCTTTTTTTTGGTAATAAAGTCCATTTTTAAAGCAGACTATCCTCTTTGAATTTTAGGATCAGCATCTCATGTTTGCTTCCTGCTTCTTGGCACTTCAGCATCTCCCCAGTGGGATGTCCACGTATTCTCAACACCACTTTGCGACAGATTGTTGTGATAGGAATACTCGCTGCTGCTGTCTCTTTGCTTTACTACTCTCTGGTAGTCATCCGCAATAAGTATGGGCGTGCGTACAGGGACAAAAGATTCCACAGGTGAGAGCTGAAAAGACTTTTGTGGAAAGGAAGGAAATGTAGTTTTGGTGTGAAAGAGAAAACACTGACAGGTTGTGTCTGTAAAATACACGAATGGGGGGGAAAACCATGAGTAAAACTTCCTGCTTTTTTTATGAAGCTTTCCTTATCTAAGTTGATTTGAATTTATCAATAATTCAGCTTTCTAGTATCTTATTTTATGTATCTGTAGCAGCTCAGTAAAACTATAGGTGCAAAAAATATCATGTAATTATTTTGGAAATTAATTTTGGTATTTTTTTCTGGGAATTCGATTCTTATGGGTGGCACTTTTTGTTTTCTTCAGCAACAGTATAATAGTGAAAACAGTGTGATTCCTACGGTGGAAACTGTTGACCTGTTTTCAGTCTGCTGTTGAGAACAACTTCCATATGGAACTTAATTGCCACATCATAACGCTTAGTTTTCTTCTAGATATCTTGCCCGAGTCACTGACACTGAAGCTACAGATACAAACAACCCCAATCTGAACTATGGAATCGTTGTGGACTGTGGCAGCAGCGGCTCTAGGATTTTTGTGTATTGTTGGCCAAGGCACAATGGTAATCCACATGATCTGTTGGACATCAAACAGATGAGGGACAAAAACAGAAAACCAGTGGTTATGAAAATTAAACCAGGTACTAGAAAGAAATTCATTTTTAGATGTGATTTTTCTAGATTATTGCCTCTCCTAACTTTGCTCGTTCAAACCCCATATTTAAAGGGTCTGGGTAAAGGGCACTTGTGAGTTGTCACCATGGCGCTCCTCCAGATTTCTTTGGGTTTGGTTTGCAGAGAGCTTTGTTCTGCTTTAAAGCTTGAAACATGACACTGACTGGCAGGAGGGAGAGCTTTCTCTGTGGACCAAGACAGTTGCCGGTTCAGTTGTCAGTTAACTTGGTCCTGTTTATTTAGTGAATAAATAATTGGCTTTCTGTAAAGCTATTTGAACCAATTGTATAAATAGGTAATATACCTAATACAGGTTTTTGTTTAATGTTTGGAGAGATACTTAATTGTTAGTTTCATTCTCATTTTCTTATTTTTGTAGTTTCATTTCCTGGGTTTGGCTTTGGGTAGTGTTTCTCCTCTGTGTGTTGGGTATTTCCTGGAAAATCTTGATAACCAAAGCTGGCATTGCTTCACCTTCATATTTTTCTATTTCACTAGGCATTTCGGAGTTTGCCAGCTCTCCTGAAAAGGTCAGTGATTATATTTCTCCGCTTCTGAGCTTTGCTGCCGAACACGTGCCACGTGCAAAACACAAAGAGACTCCTCTTTATATTCTGTGTACTGCGGGAATGAGGATTCTGCCAGAAAGGTTATTGGCTGTCTTATTTTTAGCATTTAGAATAGCAATCCTGGTGTGTCTGACTATTTTTAACTGTTCAAAAATGTAATTTTGCAGCCAGCAGAAGGCAATACTTGAAGATCTGCTCACCGATATTCCTGTGCATTTTGATTTTCTGTTTTCGGACTCGCATGCAGAGGTTATTTCAGGGAAACAGGAAGGTAGGTTAACGTTGGGAAAATAATCTTTGAAGTGTTTATTACTTTCACGGTACAACTTGGATAATTGTGTTTTGTTGCTTTTTAAAATTCCAGTTTGGTTGAGAGACTTTGTTCCTCAGTAGCAACATATGGAGTGTGGAGATGATCATCTGCTGTCATCTTCTAACCTGTCTAAATGTTTTATATTTAACAGTGAAAATAACTTATCTGCGTTTAGTGGGAATTTTAGTCCATTTTCCCTGACTTTGGGGTGGGAGGGGCAAGGATGAGGCACAACATTCTTGATGGAAGAAACTTTGCAGGGAAAAATGCTTTCTAAAGGAGAGGTTTTGATGTGATTAGCTCACTAGAGGCTTAAAATCAATTTAAAAGCTAATATGCTTACTTCTTCTGCAGCTTACATATCAGGCTGGCTTTAATACATTGAAATACTTTAGTGACAGGACGAGGGGCAATGGGTGCAAGTTGGAACAGAGGAAGTTCCGTTCCAACACACGGAGAAACTTCTTTAGGGTTGGGGTGACAGAGCAGTGGCACAGGCTGCCCGGGGAGGTGGGGGAGTCCCTTCTCTGGAGGTTTTCAAGACCCGATGGATGCAGTCCTGAGTGATGTGCTCTGGGCAATCCTGCTTTAGCGGGGGAGTGGGGCTGGGTGATCTCTAGAGGTCCCTTCCAACTCTGAAAATTCTCTGATTCTAGGATTTTTATCATAGGATAGGATTTTTATCATAGCCTTGACTTGGGAGAGAAAGAATAGAATAATTTTTCAGGAATGTTTAATGTCGAAGTATATTATGTAATACGGTATGAGCAGTGATATATCTTAATAACTCATATGCAAAACATCCCTCTTTGTTTTTAAGATGATATGTACCAGATATTCCTGAAATATGTTTTCTTATGCACGTAGGAGTATATGCATGGATTGGCATCAACTTTGTCCTTGGAAGATTTGAACATACAGATGATGGTAAGTATTTTAATTGTGAATTGGATTTTAGGAAGGACTTCAAGTACGTTCCTGTGCTTTCTCTGTTGAGGGTATGATTTTAGATAGGGATGTCAGTGAACTGTGCGTGTGCAGGTGCTGATGTTGGTTTAATTTGTATGTGAAGTTTAATTTGTATGTGAAATTTCAATGATCTGCATTGCTGCAACAAAGAAGTTAACTAGAAGTAGCATAGCGCCGCTTTATGCCCACCCTAAATGTATTTCTCAACGCCTTTTCCTTGTTTTATCCAGAGGATGAAGCGATTGTGGAGGTGCATGTCCCAGGCAGTGAAAACAAAGAGGCCATCTTCCGTAAGAGGACAGTGGGTATTCTTGACATGGGCGGAGTGTCGACTCAGATAGCGTACGAAGTCCCTAAAACTGTAAGCTTTGCCTCTTCGCAGCAGGTTATTATCTGTGCAACTTTCTTCTTTTCCTTTTGGTTTATTTTAATGCATATTTGTTGTTTTGTTTTCTTTGTTTTGAGTCCTATTCTTCATTACATCACATTCCAAAACCAAGGCAAGAGAAGATGGCAAATACGAGTCCTTCATCAGCTAAGCAATTCATTTGTATTTTGTTCATTCAAACATTTATTTCAATTAGTGTAATTTGCCACTGATTTTTAAATTTAAGTGGACGTGTATTCTTTGTGTATGTGCATGCATGTATGTACAATTTTTAAATCTGTTATATTTAAAAGACTGTATTCTGGAATTTGTGTGGTGATTCTTCTTATATAAAATATGGCTTTTTCCTTTAAGTTGGGTTGATAGAAACTGAATTAACAGGACAGAGGGATAACGGTACAGTCTGTCTAAGTTTCACCTACGTCCTTGGCACAGTTCATCTGTTGTAGGAAGCAAATTTCTTTGTTACAAGTCTTAAATGGAACATAAATTGCTCTAACTTCAATCCACTGAGTTGTAGAGTAATTTCTGAGTTTTCTTATACTGGATAATATCTCAGTGAACGGGAAGTTATCTAAAGTAAGAATAGCATAAAAGCCCTGTGTTTTGACTCTCAGTGCACTGTTATAATGTTGTATGTATTGACGTTTTAAAATCTTCCTGTGAAATGACAGGTTTTCATTATTACAGGTTTTGATGACTGCATTGCCTTTCAGACAGATGGTGTAACAAATAGTTTGGGCGTTTAGATTGAGAGCAGGTTGCCCCAGTAAAGAAGAATTGGGAATAGGAAGAGTTGTTGCAGACAATTGATATGACGACTGTTGTATGGCTCTATCTGAACATAAGCTGATCTAAAATAGGTATTCGGGTCATGGAACCTGTCCAGGTTCCCAGACAGAGAAGGACAAGAGAGTCAAACAGCTGACTGCGACACTTGCAGTCCTACTGCTGTTTTTCATTTGCAGTGTCAGTTGGAAGCTATGCAAAGTTACGCTACTTGTCTGAGCACGTTCTGTATGAAGTGCTTCTGCTACACAGCTCTTGAATGTCTGAAAAGCTACTGCGAGTGACTGATGTATGGTGCGTGAGGAGAGCTGAGTGACTGACAGGTCTCCTGGAAAGCCTGAGAACTCCAGATTGCAAAAGGAAGAACAGCTCTGCTGGCTGGACTGTAAATCTAACTAGCCTAGCAGTCAGTGGTGTGGGCACTCGGTCAGAAGTGGTAGCATTGAAATTAGTAGCCGCAGCACGTACCTTTTCATCGGAAAAGATACTTTAGCATCCATAGTAGCAGTTCCTGGCCTTTACAATTCCTCGAGTATCGGTAGCGATAATGCAATCGGTATGCTTTGCTGTCTCTATGATGTAGAAGATAACATGGGCCTGTGAAAAGCAAAATAGATGAGTAAGGAGCGAAGTTTAAAGATGTCATGTCAAGGGCATCCAGTTGCCCAAAGAACTTTTAAGGTTTTGGATCATATTGTTTATAGCTGCTCTTGGTGCTTGTGTTTCTACAGGAGGAAGTAGCCAAAAACTTACTTGCAGAATTCAACTTGGGTTGTGATGCTCATCAAACTGAGCATGTGTATAGAGTCTACGTTGCAACGTTCCTTGGCTTTGGAGGAAATGCAGCACGCCAGAGATATGAAGAAAGTCTGTTTACCAGTACAGCGCTTAAAAACAGGTAGCTGGTTGCAGTTGCTTGGGGATATGGGTTCTGTGCGTCACTAGGCTCAGTAACCCCTGAACTTGAATACATTTCGTAAAGTATCGTGATGTAAAACTTAATTTCTACAGCATGCTGCATGCAGTGCTGAAGTTTCTTTAAATGAGGGCGCTTTGTTTGATGCTGTTGTATCTCAGAGCTTGATGTTTCTGAATATGCCGTTGTTACCGTGCTTGCTCCTTTATCCAGACTGCTGGGCAAACAGACTGGCATGACTTCTGATTCGCCCTACCTGGATCCTTGCCTGCCCCTGGATGCTCAGGATGAGATCCAGCAGAACGGACAGATAATGTATTTGCGGGGAACAGGAGACTTTAATCTGTGTCGTGAAATTATTCAACCGTTCATGAATAAGACTAATGAAACGCAGACGTCTCTTAATGGTGTCTATCAGCCCGCTGTGCACTTTCAGAACAGTGAATTCTATGGCTTCTCAGAGTTCTACTACTGCACCGAGGATGTGTTACGCATGGGAGGAGATTACAACGCTGCTAAATTTACTAAAGCTGCAAAGGTAAAGTGTTCTTGAGATAAACTTTTTCTAATTCAAAACAACTACTCTCCAGAAGCATTTTGTTCTGAAAGTCTTGCAACAAAACTCTTTCTTTAAAGATCCAAAATCCTTTTACCCTGCGATGAACTATCACAGGGCATCTCCCTTCCTCACAGAATTTTATTTTTGAATACTTATTTTAAGGCACAGTAGTAAAATTGACTCTAGAGGGAACAGGACTTATGGTAGTCAAGTTCCAACAGAACTACTGATAATGGGGAAATCCATGCTGCTTCCACCTCTTGCTTCTTTTTAGGAATGTCTTAGTTGTTAGAAAAATAATTCCTTTCCCTTTTGCTTTATACATTTTTGTACTGGTTTCTCAGGTGTTGCTCCTAACAGGGATCAATCCGTTGGGGACAGTTTAAAGGAAGGCTATAACATAAAGTGGAAGAATGTGATCTGCTTTGTCAATGTCCTAAAAATGGGTTCTATTTTACATCTTTGAGTATATGACCAAAGAGTTTAAGTGCTGCTGAATACTAATTTGACCACAGATGCCAAGCATGGATCAAAATGTTACAGAAAATACCATGAAATTTATGGTCTGACTTATTAGCAGTGCAAGGGAAACTGTTATTTTTGAGTTTTCTACTTTTGGTATTTATAGAGCGTCTTACCTAGTGGCATTTTTTTCTTCTCAAGGCAGAAGCAATGTTGAAGTATTTCTCTTTTTTTTTTCTTCTTTTTTTTCTTCCCTTTCTTTCTTTCTTTCTTGAAGGATTATTGTGCCACTAAGTGGTCTGTCCTACGGGAACGTTTTGACCGTGGTCTTTATGCATCACATGCTGATCTCCACAGATTGAAGTAAGTATTTGTGTTTGTACAGCAAATTCATTCATGCAGAGTTGCCAGGGAGAGGTCATGTCCAATTGATCCATTTAATGAAATCATTGGAAGCGTGAAAATAACCTTAAATATTGCATCAGCCATAAAAAAGTACTGATAATTACGTGTCTAAATGTGCTCCTCAGTCCTGTGAGACTTTGTAACTGCTGCTCTGACTTTATGCCACTCTTTCTATAGGTACCAGTGTTTTAAGTCTGCCTGGATGTATGAAGTATTTCACAGTGGCTTCTCTTTTCCTGTGAGTTACAGCAATTTGAAAACAGCTCTGCAGGTTTATGATAAAGAGGTGCAATGGACCTTGGGAGCCATTCTTTACCGAACACGGTTTTTACCTTTAAGGTACGAGTTCTTTTGTCAGATGTCTGGAAAGAGCGCTTGGGTGGAAGGTATGGGGGTCTTATGAAGGGAAGAAGTATGGTGGTAGCAAAGCAGCTGACAGACGGGGGGAGACAAGATGTTCCTAGTGCATTATATATAACCTCAGTACATATTCCAGGTAGTTCAAGTAATGCTTTGTAAAGATTAGTCCACTAAAATGGGCTCTGTTTCGTGTGGTAAGATAGCTAGGAGGGCAAATTTGATTTGCAACTTATGTCTGTTATCCCTTTCATTCTTTTCAGAGACATCCAGCAAGAAAACTTCCGTGGAAGTCACTCCCACTGGAGGAGCTTCTCCTTTGTTTACAATCACTATTTGTTTTTTGTCTGTTTTCTGATTGTGCTGCTCTCCATCCTGCTTTACCTGCTGAGGCTCCGACGGATCCACAGGCGAATGTTGCGTAACAGCTCATCTACTTCCCTATGGATGGAGGAAGGCCTCCCACCACAGAAGATCACAGGACCTTTATGAGATGCTGTGATGGAGAGCTTTTATTGGACTTGCTATTCAAAAAGCCATTTTTGCCTCAGGGTTCCTCCTTTTTGTCCCTTTAAACCATTGAAGAAGCAGATTGCCTAGAGCGTGTAATACAGCTAGGCTTTGGAAACATGGGAAAATGGGGTCAACTTGGCTTAGTCTCGTTAGACAAGATCTGCCAAAAATGACTTTTTTTTTTTAATATTGCACTTTTGTGTGTAATGGAACGAGCAAAGACTCGTCAGTAAATGAGCAGCAGCAGCTTAAGTTATGTATGGTAAGAGAATGAGTGTGAATTCTCATCCCTTGGATGAGGTTGTGAAATCACATTAGTGAGGATGAATGAGGACTGTTTTTATTTTCTTTTCCAGATTCCAGGATTGATATCACTTGAATTCTCAATTCTGAGTCTCCTCAGTCAAAGAAAAGGAAGTGCAGGGTTTTCAGAAGCAGTAAGAAACCAACCTATTAGGACAGCTTAATCTGATTTTATATTCTGAGATAAGTACTGTGATTGAGAAGAAAAATCTATTGCACCCAACGCTGTGCTTCCACAAAACTGCTTAAATCAGTTTTGTTTATTTGTGACAGTTTCCCCTTTTGTCTTGGAAGCTATATCGTCATAGTGGCGACAGTCACTACTTTTTAATCCTCTATTTCTGTTTCATAATCATTCAGAGATCTCCCTGAAACCGCAGTAAGGTGGAGAGAACTGGAACATGCCTAGGCTTTTGTTTCTGCTAGAGTAGACATGCACAGCGTCTCTCTTTTTGGTTTTGAGTACTCTGATTTGTTAATTTATATTTTATTTAAAACTGGTAATTTTACTTGAAAGTAAATTTGTCCATGATTAAAAGTGGGATTTATATGAACTTCTGGTGTATGGATATTTTATTGCACAGTATCACTTCTGTTCTCACTGTGTTATCCAACTGGTGAAACTGTCTTCTCTTCTAGTAGGTGTGAATATGCTGGAAAACTGGATGCTGTTTTCAGTATGAGAGAACTAGGCGTGTTGATACCACTTTTGTCATACTTAAGGTGCAGTTTATTCATTTAAAATCTAGATACTTTCAATTGGTTTATTGTCTCCTTTCGTTATGCTTGTGTTTGCCTCTGACCGTAGGGAATTTGGGCTTAATCTGCTGAACTGCAGCTAAATTTAGGTGCTAAACTTCCTTCGCCTTCCATCCAGTGTCTGGTAGATGGCTGTGTTGCAGTCGAAAGAATTAACTGTGGTGGAATTTTGAAACAGCAACAGAATCTTTAACTGAATGTTCAGAAATAACAAATAGTGCCTCCCTTCCATGAAGGATTTTTTTTTTTTTTTAACAAATCTGAGCACTTCACCAGCTGAGAGTCTGTTTTGCATTTTGCTATTTTTTGAGCGCCATCTGAGTGAATGCTTAGATAACACACCTCTCACTTCTGATGTCTGGAACTGTGCTACAAACTTGTTGCACTCGTAGGCTGATAAGAGTTATCAGAAAACTGACGCTGCCAATTGTTACAGAGCCTGTGCTTCCTGTTTCTGAGATGCCTAAAACTGAATACAGAGCCTCTAATTGCATGCTTAGATAAAGCAGCCCCCTCTGGACAAGGGCTGATGTCGGTGGTAAAGTGGAGAGGAAGTATCAGTGTGTGACTTGGCAAAATCCAGGCAGATGCCAAGCATCTCTTGGCAGAAGAGATAGTGTCTCAAATGCAGCAAGAAAAAAAACCCAAAAAAACAAACAAAACACAAAAACCCAAACAACAAACCACAACCCAAAAAACCACCAATAATAAACTTATGAAAATCATAAAAACACAAAAAAAGTTGAAGGAGGAATGTTTGAGACCTAGAAGAGAATTTCCTTTTGGATGCTGCAGCGTTTTCTTTTTTGTGATATTCTTAACACCAAAAAAAAAGAAGAAAGGAAAATAATCTTAAACAATCAGTTTTAAAGTTACACATTAATAGAATCAGAAGGCTATTTGTTAAATAACAGACAGTCATGGAAAAAAAACTATTCTGGCCATAACTAAGATGGTATAAACACTTTTGAAAGGAATAACGATTATGTGATATGTCATGGTTGAACCAAGTGCAGGATTTCGACATTGCTTTCTTATCTTGTAGGATGGACAGACTATGGCTGTGCCCGGTGAAGTGAGTGTTTATGGCCCCCAGAGCTTAAGAAGATTTTGGTAGAGCAAGCTGCAGCTAGCGAGCTCGGTGACTGCAGTAGGGACAGGTACAGCACGGGGATGACGGAGACAGATTGGTCTTGTGCTTACATAAAGCATCGGGTGCCTGCTTTAGGGTTTCCATGCTGGTTTTTGAAAGCACTGCACTGGGGAATGAAGATCCGAAGCGGGAGTGTTTGGAATGTGAAGAAAGATAAGATGGTGAATGGTGGTGAGAAAGTGATCAGGAAAATGGGGCACGAACGGGCAGGAAACTTTTGACGTACCAGTGACTGCTCTGCAGTGTACAGTGTCTCTTTTTTTCTCTTGGACTTCTTTCTCCTCCAGGATCCTAGTAGTGTTGTTCTGCTTTTTCTAGTGATTTGGTTGAGGAAGGGAAGAGTAAAGATGACCTAATACAGAATTTCCTCCTGTAGTGGTAAAAAGATACTGTCAGCAGAGATTTATTGTGGGAGCAGCTACTGTTCATTAAAAAATCTAAGCAGTGCATGAGAAACCAGATTCAAACAAGTGTAAGGTCTAGAAACTTAAACAAGCCTTCTTCATTCATGCGAGACAGTGCACAGAGCCCTGTTTTATGTCTGTGTTTCCCCCCTCATCCAGGTATAGGGTGGTAAAGAGCTTGGATAAGGTGAGCAGCTGTCAAGGTGCTTCAGAGTGAGGTGGGGGTGGACACTGTCTTCCAAACTAAAACCAGCTGGCTCTTACCTGCCTGGGGACTGCTTTCCTAAATTCTTTAAGGTCTTTAAGAAATCTCATTAGATGCTCAGTGGCATGAGAAAGGTCAATTTGTCATGGTAATGCCTTTTGTTGATCCTCACTTTCACAGCTTGGTCGGTTTCTTTTTTTCTTCTTCCTTCCAATAAACTGTTGCCCCCAGTTGCTTCTTGGGTTTGTGCTTTTTTTTGTGCAGATTTTCTGCTGCGTTATGTCTTTACTGTTGTAATGCTAACTAAAAGATTAAAAGGGGAAAGGGCTGAGTTTTCTTAAACCCTGATTCTCAGCCGTTCTATCCACGACCAGTATGTCACATGCCCTGGTAAGCATACAGTGAGCTTTGGGGAGCTGAGTACACTGCGAAAGCAGCGCTGGGACCCTATTTACTTCCAGCAAGCTGGGAGTTAAGCCCCTTGGTCTCTCACAGGTATAGGGGGCAGCTGAATTAAGTGTCCTGCAGGTGCACAGGAGAAAGCCATCATGCTCATTAGAAGCAAGAGCCTATAAGGGCTGGGAGAACAGAGGGCTAAGGAAGAAGGGATGGTGCTGTGCTCCCTCCTGGTGCTCTTTGGCAACGTTTCTGCTTATCTGAGGTATTCTAGCTTCAAAATGAAGTTTTTTTGGTGCTGTTGGAGACAGGGTGGGATTGTGTTCTTTATGTGGAACCATGGGGAAGATGCAGTAGAAGTGTGGAGGGGAGTAAAGTGTGCAGAGTGGTTTGCAGCGAGGAACGGAAGTAGAAAACCAAGCCTAAAACTGACTGGTGGCTTTAGATTGATTTAGCAGCAGTCCTGGGGTAGATCGCTGTTCCTTGGAGAGAAGTGAGTGTGTTGAGAGGAATTTCAGCAGATTCTTAGGCTGCGGATCTAAAAGGTTGGTTGTCCTTGGTCTGTACCTTTGGAAAGAGTAGAGCACCAATGGTTTGGAACCTGTGGCTTTTGCATCTTTCAGGAGGTGGTTTTAATGCTGTAACTGGGACGTACTTATGTTCTGTCCTGGGAAAGTGTATTTTAGAAGAAAGGATGTTAAAAGTTAGCTCTGAGTACCAGCCTGACCATCAGGGCTTGGTAGGGCAACAAAATGGTGCTGAGTGTGTCAACCTGATTATAGTGGGATGTGTAGGTTTGGAGCGTGCTCAGAGCGTGTCTGTGCGAGGAAGCGACTGGAGCACCCTGCACATCACCCTGCTCCCGTAGCCTCACCGCTGGTGTGTCTGTGGGGCCAGTGGAGTGGGCTATGGGGTAGGACTGGGGCTGGGGACCAGTCAGCTCCTTTGGGGTGCTCCAGGTGCTACTGATTAACGGGTAACGAGGCTTTGGCAGTCCAGGCATCCTTCTGTGTAATGCAGCACGAGATCTCAGCACACGGACTGCGTGAGGCCCTTCCTGTGAGGGCTTTGTGCGAGTTCATTGTGTGGTGGTGTTTGCTATATTGATGCTGACAGATGCGCGGGTGCCTTTAATTGCTTTAAGAGCTTAAAGCCCACAAGGCACGGGGAGGAAGCACAGATTTTCAAAAGCGATCAGCTAAGTGCCAAACCTAAATGCCTGGATTTACAAGACTGCTGTGCTTTTTAGTGCTCGAGCTATCCTGTGGCAAGTGTAAATTCACCTCTTAGCTTCTTTGAAAATCTGTCCCATTAATTAGAACTACAGTGTGTGTGTTTGTGGTGGTTTTTTGTTTCGTTACTTCCCCCCCCCTATCTGCATTTGCAGGATGGGGCAGGGGCTCTGGAAGAGGAGGAATGTTGTGACATCTCCTGAGGAGAAGATGACTAAAACCAGATTATTCTTGCAGCTTTTTTTGCAGCTCCAGATGAAAGGTGGGGGGAAAAAAAAAAAAGAAAACCTTTCCATCCCACCCCTGGACAAGCCTGCTCCAAAGAGACTACGCTAAGCAACAACACCAGGAGAAACATGATGCCTTTAAGAGACTTAGCAATACCTGTTTTCACTCGGTGCCTGTTCCTGGGCTCGGATTCCCAAGTCACAATGGTAATGTTTATCTGTTTGTGTCTGTTTCTGCATTAACATGCTTTATTTTCTTTCTTCTACTTCTCCTGTTCACCTTGTCCTTTCTCCAGGTCCATTAAGGCATGCAGGAAAGCACCGAGGGGAGGCGAGGGCACTGCTCTTTGACCTATCCCGGTGACCTGGAATGGCCAGGTGAATGATACTGAAGCTTTTGGCTTCATGGCCTCTTAAATGCATCGCTCTTCTTTTTGTTGTTGTGTTTTTGTGTGTGGAAAATGTCCAAAGCAAATAAGGCCAAACACGGC